GCAACTCGAGGTTTGAATTTGTTCTTCAGTTTCTTGAGCTTAAGAAATGCTGAGCGAGTTCGGCCCTTTTGATTTTCTGCTCCAACTCCTTACACATTTCATTGTAATATTTACTTTGTCATCCCTTGCTGCCTTTTGAAATCTTCTATTCAACTCTTTAGTATTTTGAATTCTTCCCTCTGCTTTGTCTTCTTTGCGCTCCAGTGCAATTTTCAGAGCCTTTTCTGACATCCATTTTGGTCTTCTCTTCCTCTTCTGTCTTTGCAATGCCCGTTTGCACTCTTCCTCTATGATACCCTTGATATCTTCCCACAACTCATCTGTTCTTCGCTTATTAGTGTTCAAGGCCTCAAACCTGTTCCTGAGCCGATTCTGAAATTTAGGTGGGATAGACTCAAAGTCGTATTTTGGTTCCTGTGGACTTGGTTTAATTTTCCTCAGCTTCAGCTTGAACTTGCATATGAGTAGTTGGTGGTCTGTTTCGCAATCAGCTCCTGGCCTAGTTTTCACAGCTGATATTGAGCTTCTCCAGGGGTTCTTGCTGCAGATGTAATCAATCTGATTTATATGCATGATTGTATGATTTACTACCTCTGAAAACCCACTGGATGGTCAGCTATGGGTCAGTTTTGGCTTGATGGCGCACAACAACATCAAATTAGAAAGACTTATCTCAAGGAAACGGTTCACACACTTGGAGAATCTGGCAAGCCCCAACTGTGTGGTTTAGGCACCCAGTGAGAGGTTTCTTCTGACTCAACTAGCTGCAGGGGTGAATGAGCATAAGATTAGCAGCTCAGAGCACACATTACTGGCTTCCAATGATGATGAAACCGAGTTCAGTAGGCAATATGGCAGGCTGCTGGCTCAAGTCCAAATGCAGTATCTGATGGAGATAAAAGCAAGTGAGCTTTACTAGATGTCCATATAGATATTTAATGTGTGCCACACTTCCAATGACACTCCCTTTTAGCTAATTGGCTGCTTATAGCCGATCTCATCATGGGGGTTAGTATATTATTTGAAATCTCAACAAACAAATTAATGAAATGTGTACATATCAGACCTCTGTAAGGGAAAGATTGCACTATATCAGATCTTATCAAGGGCATGGCTATGTTATAACTGTGAAAGAGGAGAATCATAGGCAGCCAAATGGACAAGCTTCTTTAACTATTACCTGGACTTGGATATTCAGTCTAGCAAAGCATAAGAGCCAGCAAGAAGATCAAGAAGGCATAGCCAGAGAAAAATAGGGACTAAATCAGGAAGAGTATGACAACTACAGGCCAAAGACTTTTAAGGAGAAGGAAGTGATCACTAGGTATAAAACCACTCATAGGTCAAGATGAGATTGAAAAAAAATGATCACCAGATTCAGCAACAAGGAGATACTTTGTGAGTTTGTCAAGGGCAGTGTAATGGAATTGTGAAGTCTAACGTATAGAGCATAGGAAAACAGCATGGGAAGGGTAGATAGGAGGAGTATGTAGATAGAAGCCTGCTCTTCCAAGAATTTTGCTTTACAGGGAAGCATAGACATGGAACAGAAGGCAGAGTAGGTGGTGGGTCAAGAGAAACTTACCAGCTGCAGTTGAATGTAGTCCAATTTATTTGTGTCAAAGGAACTGTGTTTCTTAGGGTTTTCAATGGCGACTTTTTTTAAAAAAGTAGATTGCTAGACTTTTTCTCCAGGATGCCTCTGAATCAGCTCAAATCTCCAAAATCTTACTAAGATGAGATATATTTGGTTAGCAGCTGAGACTATTCAAGGCTTGCCCCACCTAGGGATGTCAAGGGATTTTTGTTGTTGTTGTTGCAAGGCGTCATCGAATGACTATAACTCATAGCAACCCTATGAACAACAGATCTGAACCTTGCCCTATCCCGTGCCATCCTTACAACCTCTGACATGTTCAAGCCCGTTGTTACAGTCCCTGTGTTAATCTGTCTTGTTTAAAGTCTTCCTCTCTTTTACTGACCCTCCACCTTTCCCAGCATGACATCTTTTTCCAAGGACGAACTTCTCCTGACAGCATAACCAAAGTATGGGAGACCAAGTTTTACTATTCTTTGCCTCGAAGGAACATTCTACTTGCACTTCCTCCAAGATAGACTTGCTTGGTCTTTCAGCAGCCCATTCAGCACTCTTCTGCAATACCACATTTCAAAGACATCAATTCCTCTTTTGTCCTCCTTATTCATTGTTCAACTTTCAGATGCATGAGAAGTAATTGAAAAGACCATGGCTTGGGTCAAATGCACTTTAGTCTTTAAGCTGACATCACATTGGAGAGGTCCTTGATGACAAATTTCCCCAATGTCCCACATATTTTTTTCTTTTTATTAAAAAAAAACTGTACTAGTGTTACACACACACTCACACACACACACGCACATGCACACACACACACAAACATTATGTTTCATTCATATACATTGTGGGGGGTTGTTTTATAACATTTTTTAAAATTTATACTAGTTTGTTTACAAAATTTAAATACATTGTTTTTCAAACCATGTTTTTGACTGCTGTTGTTATGAGTTTTGGTTGTGGATTTAGATAGGAGTTATTCCAGGGTATTTCTGAACTTCTGAAGAAGACCAAATGGAGGAGAGTAGTGAACACGGCAGTAAGGAATGGCAACACTAATTGAAGCTAGTTCATTAAGCAGTGATTCTGGTCCAAGTATGATGTTCAGGGGCATTACTTGCCAAGTGGTAGGAAGTGCAGAACAGGAGCAATCAGAAAAAAAGGAGCATGGGAGGAAGGAGCTTCAGTTGATAAGGGCTTTCAGTCTTCTTTCAGTCAGGCCCCACATAGGCAGGATTCAAGAATTTCTTCTCTGGATGTTGTCCCTCCCAGGTGGGAGTGGCAGGACCTTGAGACTGCTAGGTGTGGCATCCTCCATGCTTGCACAATCTTGGGCTGTAACAGAAGCTTGTGGTTTCCTGCGGCCACAGCAGAGCTCTGAGACATAGCTGGAGCCAAGCAAAGGGACCAGTATGGTGGAGTTTGCTCCCTTCATGGTGCCGTTGGAGAGGAGACTGCAGACATTAGCAGTGCTGCAATGGACCTTATCCTTCCTGATGCTGGGTAAGGTAGGGAGCCTGGGACCTGTGGAATAGCCACTCCAGGCACGTAAATCACACTAAGAAAGACTTCTGTCTAAAAGAGCAGCTTTGCTGCCCTCACAGACCCTAACCAGAGAGACCCTTGGGCTTTCTCAGCATCCTTTGGGGGGTGCTGGAGGGTATGGTGTGTTGGGGAAGGAGGTGAAAGCCATCATGGCTTTGGACAGCTTATATCATTTTCCTGGGTTGAAGGTTCTCCATTGATACTTAGTCGGGGTTCCATTCCTCAGAATACAGAGAAGGACCGAGGTGAGAATTTCTAAGCTCAAGAAAATGAGGGTCTCAGTGAGGATGGAACCGAAAAAAATAACAGGAGAAAAAGAGAAGTTACCAGAAGAGCAGGAAGGAATAGCAAATCTGAGGTTATGCTCAGGCTGGGCAACTGATCAGCTGTGTGGCCTTGGCAGGTCCTCGCCTGATCTCTCCAGGCCTCTACTTTGTCATCTGCTGAATGTGGATGAAGTGAAAAAAATATGCTTATACCCAGCCTTCAACCTGGCTGGACCCTGGGTACATTATGCCTCTTTGCTCTTCACTCACACTGAGTAAATGTGTTGATGGTGGCCATGTAAATACTAGCTCTGCTGAAAGGAGATGCTGTAGGGAATGGGTTGGAACTATGAATCAGAAAAGGAGAGTGATTAGAATTGTGTTGGATTTTTAGTTCTATCGGTTAGCACCTGAGGAGGTGGGAACTACTGTCCAGGACCTAGTAGTGTTCAGCATGTGATGTGTAGACACGATCCTGGCAGTTAAAATACGACACACTCGGCAAAGGTTGGTCAGTAGTCATTCTCTTGACGCCTACTTCCTTCCTCAATTCAGGCCCACAATTTTGCAGCAAGAAGATTAAGAGCAGGTTACCCAGGCCTTCCTATACCCCCTCTGCAGCCTTTCTGATTGTTGTTGTTGGAGGGTTGCTGCTCATTTTTTACTTCCTGGTTTCTCCTTATTTATACAGATAGACAGAGTAAGAGTCTTAAATGCACAAGACTGCTGGAGTTCTGAGCAATAATCAAAGGGAGAAAGGCAGAGGAGAAAGAGGGCGGACAGAGGATCGATCTGCTGGGTGACGGTGAGAGGAGAGCCCAGCAAGGTCCAAGCCCAGAGAAGGCATTAAGATCTGTTGACTTCTGCCCATTTTAGGACAAAGGGCAGTGGGGAGGAGTCGCTGTGTGGCACAAATGATTAAACTGTGATTAAATAGTTAGCTGGCTTGACTGTTAGCTGAAAGGTTCTTGTTCTAATCAAGTCAGAGCTTCCTTGGAAGACAAGTCTGGCAACCTGCTTGCTTCTGAAAGGCCACAGCCTTGAAAACTCTATGGAACGTAGTTGTCTTCTGACACACTTGGGGTCACTGAGTCAAAATACACTTGATAGCAACTCATAAGCACCTAGTGATCCTGGGACACAAAAGTCGTTGGTCTGTCCCTAGTGCAAATAGCTCTGCATGGACTTGAGCCAGTGAGGATCTCATGACTAAGACTGACTTGCATGAACTTTGACAGCTGAAGTGTGTCTGCATGGTTATGCCCATTGCTTCCTACAGGCCGTTGGCACAAGGTAGGCATGTCTCTCACAGGTGCCTGGGAACCTCAAGATTAGCATAAAAACCTCACAATAGCCTGGGGCCTAGAGAACCAGAGGGAGGACAAAGGAGAAAGGCGGTCTGGACCTGCACACACCAGGCCCAGTAGGTTGTAGGTGGGAGGAGTACATTATCCTGAGGGCAAAGGAGAGCTTTAAGGTGGGGAAGTGACAAAGTCCAATCAACGCATTAAAAGTTCCTGTGCCTGCATCCACTGTGTCAGAAGGTGGAGCAAGACCATGATAGAGAGAGGCTCTTAATCACAACAGGGGACACCAAATTATCACCCAGGGCTAAGCCCAGTCCACTAATTTTATTCAGCTTGCAAACTAAAGAAGGTAATTTTTGTTAACCGTAGAGTCAGAACCAACCCACAGCTGACCACAGGGGTTTTCAGACTCAGTTAATCACACAGAAGGAGATTGACCATCCTTCTCTGGAGGAGCAGTTGGTGAACTCGAACCACATCAGTTGGTGGCATGCCTTTTGGGATTACAGCACAGCTTCTTGCCACTAGGCCACCAGAGCTCAAAGAAGGTCCTAACATTTTAAAATATCTAGCTACATTTTAGATGGTTACACCCAGGTCTACATAGGGAGCTCCGGTAGCGCAGTGCCATAGTCCCTTAGGGAGTGAGTTACACTGTTAACTCAAAGGTGCCACTTCTCTGCTGGTTTGAATCCACCAGGATCCATGGGAGAAAGATGGGCAATCTCCTCCTGTGCAATATACAGCCTCTCAAAAGTCTTTGGAGGGTCAGCTATGAGACAGTTCTGACTCTTTGATGATGAGATGACCCATACCCACCTGTTGCTGTTAGGTGCCACCAAGTCGAGTATAGCTCATAGCGACCCTGTGAACAGCCAGCCTGAACCCTGCTCTATCCTGTGTCATCCTTATCATCTCTGAAATATGCAAGCCTATTGAAGAAGTCACTGTGTCAGTCCATCTCATTGGGGGTCTTTCTCGCCTTCACTGACCTAACTGTGTTGTCGTTGCCGGCTGTGTACTGTCGAGTTGGAACCAACCCACAGCTCTGGCAGGTTTCAGAGGGAATGAATTGCACAGGAGATTGCCCATTGTTCTCCTGTGGATCAGCTGGTGGATTTGAATAGCCTGCCTTTGGGACTGGATTCTTACCACTAGTGGTTTCTTAACACTAGGCCACCAAAGCTCCCTCTGATTTACCTGGTAACATCTAATTTGTCTTTTGGGCTGCTAGGTCTAACCATGTTTCCAAATGGTCTTTAAGAAAATGTTTGCAGGGAGCTCTGGTGGCCTATTGGCAAGAAGCTGCACTGCAATCCCAGAGGTATACGGTTCAAATCCACCAGATGCTCTACTGGAGGAGGGGCAATTTCCTCCTGTACCTGTCAGATCCGATTTGATGGTACACACACACACAGAGAGAGAGAGAGAGAGAGAGAGAGAGAGAGAGAGAGATATGTTTGCTAGTTTCTGGTTTAGATGGAAGATACTGGTATAGACACGTGTCCTGGTTCAAGAGAGACTTTGGATAGACACGTGTCCTGGTTCAAGAGAGACTTTGGAGGTGAGATCCTCAGGGCAGGTGGCTGCACTGTGCACAGACGGGGATCAGGGTCGCCAAGGTTCATCCACTGTGTGATTGGCTGGCTGTCCTCAGTGAACTCAGACCCTGGGAAGAAGAAGGTTTGAGAAGTTAGGGGGAATGCAGGGGCTTGGATGGCCTGGAGGGGGAGTAGCCACCAGCTAGTTGCTGTTCTGTGTGAGCAGTGTTGTGACAAAGAGACAGCATGAAGATGGAGGGAAGGCAGGAAGGAGAAAGCTACAAGACTTCAGGAGATGGTATTTAATGGGGGCTTTAAAAAACACTTGAGAATTTGACATGGGAGGTTGGGAGGAGAATAGGATAAGAGTGGATATAGATAATGCCCATTGCGTTGGAACAGATGAAATAAAGAACTGTCTAAAAGGAATACCTGATTAGACGTTATACATATGACAACAGCCCAGAATAAGAAATATATTATTGCAAAGAGAACGGGGAGGGCGGGGGCGGTGGGAGGTAGTGACTGGGGGAGGGGGAAGGAAAGAAGCGGGGGTAAAATGTGCAACAATGAATGAATGAGAATCTAACTTCTCTGTAAACTTTTGTTAAAATCACAATGAAATAAAATTTTATTTAGAAAAAAGTACACAGGCATTTGGGAGTTAAAACTAAAAACAAAGAGGAAAAGAAAAAAGAACAAGAACTTAAAGACTGGCAGAGGAGCCAAGGAAGAGTAATGGACTGTGCACTAACTGATAGTTGACTTTGAAGTGACTGCATACATTTTGGGGATTGGCAAAGAAATGGCTGGTGAAGTCCATGAAGACCCATCATGGAGAGCCCAGACTCTAGAACAAATAATCTTCCAAATTGGTTGTTTTCTATCTATTTCCCCTCCTCCATAACTGACGAGAAGTTAAACTCCAATTAACACCAAATTTATCTTGTCCCTAACTCCATCTCTAGCTCCTAGAAAAGTTATACTTAATACATATTTGTTGAAATGATGACTATTGGGAGCATGATATAGCCAAAAGAAAACTCTCTCATTGCCTTCAAGTCAGAATTGGCTCATAGCTGACCCTCCAGTGGGTTTCCAAGGCTATCAACTGCAAGGGAGGAGATTGGCCATTTTTCTCCTTCGAGCTACTGGTGGATTTGAAATGGGATTGTAATAGCCTTAGGGTTAGCAGGGCAACTCTCTACAGAGTACGCCACCAGAGTCTCCCACATTCAAAACGCTACTTGAATCTCAAGTCTCACCATACCAACTTGCTGTGTGACTTTAGCAAATTTAAATATCCACTCTGTAAAGTGTGATTTTAAGATTTTTCCCTTTTAGAGCTATGAGGATTGGATAAAAATAAATGATGTCTCTTTTCATAAATTATTGTAAAGACTCACAGTTTGGATTTTTTTGTGTTAAAAGGAGTTGAAGGGTGAGCCTAGGGTAGCAGAGCATGCTCTGTCAAGCACAAATATCCTGTGTTTTTTCCTAACTGCAAAAGTAATAGATATGCTTATTATAAAAAATTTAAAACTTTAAAAAAAGGTTGGCCTGTAAGTTACCACCATTACCAGTTTGTCTTACTAAATAGCAATGATTTTCTTAAAGTGAGAGTCACCTGCATAGACCTTTGATATTTGCCTCAGGGGAGAGAGCACTCGAGTTGAGTTTTTCCCCTCCCTGTTGTTTTTTTTTTAACTTTAACACAATTTAATGAAAAAGAAAATATTGTTACTCTCCTTTGCATCCCTATTTCCTGGCTTTCTGTTTTCTTCCAGATGTGTGGGTGTCTTTCATATTTTTATATGGACAATCATATATGTAGAGATGTTCTTTTCCAAACAAATGGTGCATTTTATCTCCATTGTTCTGCAATTTCCTCTCTCAATATCACAAATCCAATCCAATCCAATGTTGCAATCCAGTATGTTTTGTCTATGCAATCCAGTGAGATTAATTGCATCAGCCATATCATGCTATGGCCATCAGTAGCCTTTGCCAAGCTTTCCATTCCCATAATCTTGCATAAGCACTTAAAAACAAACTAAGACAAAAAGTGTCCAAGCTATGACCAGCTGGTGGTCCTTTCCTGCCCACTTCAGAAATCACAGGTTGACTGGAAATATAAAGCAGACATTAGGATGGTAGCTAGTTTGGAAACCTGGGCATGTGCTTAGAGGAAGGAGATATCCTGAGAATTTTGACGCAAGGCTGGCATTTGTCCCTGCTTTCATGATGCATTGGTGTCTGGGTTTGTATGTGAAGTCTCCACATGCACAGTCCCCTCCTGTGCAATTTACAACATTGGAAACCCAGTGGAGGATTGGCTATGAGTTCATTCTGACTCAGCAACAATGAGGGAGAGAGAACTAATTCAATAGAGTTTAAACCCTAACCACCCCAAACACAACACTGGAAAGTAGGCTCTATAAGGGTAGGGATTTCTCTGTGCCAGCAGTACCTGGGGTGTGAGAGGTGCTCTAGGTCAGGGGAAGATGCAGGTACTGGTTGCTAATCTGAATCTTATGACTGGTGAATCAATTCTGATGGTCCAAAACAGTCAAAATTCTCCTCCCCCAGGATGTCAGCCAATTTTGGGAGTCCCAGCGTAGCCTAATTTCAAATGAAGTAGACAACTAGAAGCTGGCCTTCTTTGACAATATGAGATTTCTGGGTTGGATAGGAAAGCTCACAGTTCAACCGAGCACACATGGGGCAGTCAGGAGTTGAAGTTGACCTGATGCAATTGGAACTGGAAGTACTGCAGGAAAAATGAGTTTGGGAGTCAGGCCTTGATAGTACCTGTTATTATCAAGTCAGTCCTGCCTCATGGTGACCCCATGTGTCACCATGTCAGAGTTAAACTCTGTTGGGTTTTCAATGACTGGCTTCTCAGAGGTTAGGCCTAATATCCATTGCTGTTAAGTCTTAATTCCAACTCCTAGTGGTGGTCTAGGGAGCTCTGGTGGTCTAGTGGCAAGAAGCTGTGCTGCAATCCCAAAGGCACACAGTTCAAGGCCACCCACTGCTCCGCCCGCAGAAGAAGGATGGGCAATCTTCTCCCACATGATTAACTGCCTCAGAAAACCCACCGGAGGCTCAGCTATGGGTCGGTTCCAACTAGATGGTACACAACAATAACAGTGGTGGTCTAGTAGTAAGAACCTGTGCTGCCAGCTGAAGGGGAGGAGGTGTAAGTCCGGCAGTTGATCAAGGGAGAAAGATGAGCAGTCTCCTCCTGAGTGACTATAATCTCTGCAAGTGCACTGGAAGGTCAGCCAGGAGTCAGCTCTGACTCTATGACATGAAACAACAGTGGTCGATAGGACAGATTAGAACTCTTCCACGGGGTCTCTGAGGGTATAAATCCTTATGAGAGCAGTCTGCTATGTCTTTCTTCAGTAGAACCGCTCTCAACAACTCATTGTTGTTGAGTCAGAAATGACTGACAGCTGACGCTCCCTTGTCTTTCCGAGGCTGTCAATTGCACAGGAGGAAATTTCTCATCTTTCTTCCTCAGAGCCACTGGTGGATTCAAACTGCCAGAGAGGTGCAGCCTTTTGAATAGCAGTTGGACTCCAAAGGACATCGGCAGAGCTCCCTGGTGAAGCAGCTAGCTGGTGGGCTTGAATTAGTGACCTTCTTGTTGGCAGCACAATGTTTGACCCATTGTGTCATCAGGGCTCTGGAGTTAGGCTCTCAGTGGGACGTTGGGCTGGCTGCATTCCCTCCTTAAAGGCTTGGGAGCAGATCTCTTCTTCTTGGGGTCAAGGACTGGACAGGACAGCATCATCAATGCTGGGCAGGTGGGGCGAGCACATGCTGGGGGTCCCATCTGCCTCCTGTCCAGACTTCCAACCACTGACAGCTCCTGCTTCCCTCCTCAGTTCAGATCAGCACCGTGATCTTCATAGGCCTCCTGTTCACAAAATTCTGGATTCTCACTGTCCTGTATGGGACCTGGTGGTTTCTGGACTGGGACAAGCCAGGACACGGGGGCAGGCCCTTGCAATTCGTGAGGCGCATGACCGTGTGGTCATACATGAAGGACTACTTTCCTATCACGGTGAGTACTGGGGTTAGGAGGGAAAGTGACAGGCTGGGTTGGGTTGAGGCCACTTGCCCCACTTCTCCTGGGTCTAGTGAGCATGGGCTGGGAGGCAGCACTGGATCTCCACCAACATGAGAACTAGACCAGAGTCTCGGCTTCTGACATTTGTTTCTCTATTCAACATGTGGGGTAAACACAGGGTTTGGAAAATGTGCAGAATTTGAAAGAGCACACATATGTATTGCATTGTAAACATGTAAACCCTCCACAGCCCAGGTTGAGGCAATGAAGGTAATGAACCTATAAACCCTAACAGACCACTTTCCTCAGACTTGCATTCACCTATGAGGAGCAGGACACTGAGGGAGCGACAAGGGCATGATTAAGGTTTTAAAGTTTGTACATTAATAATGGATAATGGTAGAGGGAAGGGGGCCTGTACTGGTTCATGGGTTGTACTCTGCCCCTAACTCTGGTGTGTTGTGTGTTCTTGGGCAAGTCCTTCCTCTATTCTGAAGCTCAGTTCTCCTGTGCCCGGTAAGCACGCTGGTTCCTTCCACTCCAAGTACCTTCAAATCTCTGACATCTGAGTCAGAGCCTCTCATGACCATTGGTGGACACTTGAAGGGCAGTCTCTGGATTTGACCGTTCAGCTCTTTTAGTGGATCTCAGATGGACTAACCTTTTGGAATGAAGCACCTGGGTAAGGATGATTACTTAGCCAGGTGGGATTGGACAGGGAAGGCGAAGAGGATCCAGGGAGGTGCCTCGTCGGGTCAACCCTCCCTGTCCTGGAACTTAAACTCAAACTCTTGGCCATCAAGTCAGAACTGACTCATAGCTGGTTCTCCATTGGGTTTCTGAGAAATAAGTGAATAGAAAGAGATGACCCATCTTTCTTCCATGGAGCCAATGGTGGATTTGAATTTGTTTTAGTTTAGCAGTGCAGCTCCCTATAGACTGTGCAGCCAGAGCTCCCTCTGCCCTGGAAACAGGGAAGGAAAAAGACCTAGCTAAGGTGTGCCAGAGACAGTGACACTGGCTGTTGATAGGGCAAGGTTTAGAGCTACTGTTCATAAAGCCACTATAGGTCATAGTCAACTTGACGGCACGTAACAACAACAACAACAACAAGGTGCAGCCTCTGGAGCTAGACAGACTAGGTTTTAATCCTATGTCTCAAGAGAGCTGAACAGTCAAATGCAGAGACTGACCTTCAAATTTCTCTGAGACTCTGTTTTCCTGTGTGGAAAAGGGGGATGATACCACTTACCTCACAAAATTCTGTGGGCCCAATAAGACTGCTGGCAAAGCACCTGGTAAGTTCTTAGTGAATAAATGGCCAGTGCAACTAGTCCTCTACTTACAATAAGGTTTCGTTCTGAGCACTTGTTTTAAGTCTAACATAGGTGGAATATCTCATTTAAAAAAAAAGATTGCCTTTTATTGTCACTATCTTCATAAATCTGTTTTTATTTGTGTGAACTGAAACATTGGATCTAAACTTTTAGAATATATCTTCATATATATATATAAACATGCACAAAAGAATATACAAATAATAAATATTTATTAATGATGACATTATCAACTAATGCTATGAAAGGCTGAATGAGGTCACATTACAGGCCTGGTCTATAGTAAAGTTGGTATCCGTGTCATAACATTGAAACTGGAGTCCTAACAGTTGTTGACGAATGCACAGTTCAGTTGTCCTTTGTCATTAGGGTTAAACAATACCTGATTTTTTATCTCCTGATATTAACAATGACTTCGTTGTAGACCAGACCACAGCCTGCTCTCACAGAATCCTTAACACTGAACATTAAGAAGGAACTTCTGAGAATGAATGATACCGTCAACAAAGGATACATTGCAGTGTTATATTTAGCGCATGTTACTAATGATAAAATAGAAACCCTCTTCCTCCCAAAAAACCTCCCAGATGGTCATAAATGTTGACAGTTGTCACTTGAATACGTCCTAAGACAGGGACAACCTCTTTGTATGTTGTTATTAGGTGCCTTCATATTGCTGACTTTTCCAAACATGATGTCTTTTTCCAAGAATTGGCACCTTCTGACAACATGCCCAAAATATGTGATATGAAGTTTCACCATCCTTTCCTCTAATGAGCACATTGGTTGCACTTCCTCCAAGATAGACTTGTTTGTTGTTCTGGCAGTCTGTAGAATAGTCAGCACTCTTCTTCAACACCACATATCAAATGCATCAGTTCTTCTTATTCATGGTCCAACTTTCAGATGCATAGGATGCAACTGAAAATATCATGGCTTGGATCAAGTTCATCTTAGTCTTTAAACTGATTTCCTTGCTCATTAGCACTTTGGAGAAGTCTTTAACAGCAAATATTCCTAACTTAACATATCTTTTTTCTTTAACTGGTTTATTTACAAAGTTTGTATTCTTTTTTAAAAAAAACAAACCCAACAAAGTACCAAGTTTGTATACATTGTTTTTCACACTAGATCTTTCCCATTTCTTTCACTTCCCTCCACCCCTCAAATTGTGCAATCCTATGATTAACCCTCACCCCCAACAGTGCTCACCCACCTGCTTCTTATCTCCCTTGGATCCTCATACTCATTTTACAATAATGGTCTTATAAAGTATGTCCTTATAAGACTAAATTAGTTCACTTATCATAATGTTCTCCAGTCCCTTCTCGAATTAGGTAGTAATTTACAAAATCATTGCTCCTGCATGCTGTGTAGTATTCCATCATGGAATGTACCATAATTGTGGTTGGACATTTGAGCTATTTCCATGTTCTTGCAGTGGTGAATAATGCCACTATGACCATTAGTGTACAAATCTCCATTTGTGTCTCATTCCTTCAGTGTTTATTCCAAGCAGTGGAATAGCTGGGTCATACAGAATTTCTATGTTCAGCTTTTTGAGGAAGTGCTGAACTGCCTTCTGGAGTGCTTGTACCATTATACAATCCCACTAACAATGTCTAAGAGTTCTATCTCACTTCATCCTCTCCAACATTTATTACTTGCTGTCCTATTAAACTTTGCCACTGCTACTGGGTGAGATGGTTTTTTATTTGCATCTCTCTTATTGTCAGTGATTTAGAGCATTTCTTCATGTGTCTGTTGGCCATCCTAATGTCTTCCTCCGAGAAAATTCTTTCCATGTCTTTTGCCCATTTTGTAATTGTGTTGGTCTTTTTCTTGATATGAGATCCTTGTCTGAAATGGTCTTGCCAAATGTTTTTTCCCAGTCAGTAGGTTTCCTTTTAACTCTGTTAGAAAAAGTTTTTGATGAGCACAGGGATTTACTCTTTAGAAGGTCCCATTCATCGATTTTATCCTCTCCAAACGGTGCATTTCTGGCTGTATTTAGCAGTCTCCTTATACTATAGACTGTCGTGTCTAAGCTTGATCCCGCTTTGTCTGTGCTGAGATTTATGGTTTGGGGCTTTACACCCAGGTCTCTGATCCACCTTGAGTTGATTTTTGAGTATGATGTGAGATGTGGTTCCTGTTTCAGCTTTATGCAGGTAGCAGTCCAGTTTTGCCAGCACCATTTGTTGAAGACATTGTCATTTCCCCATTTGATAGGTTTTCTTTCTTGTCAAATATCAGTTGAGCATAGACGGCTATGTCTGTTTCTGGGTTCTTAATTCTGTTCCCCAATGCAACATGTCTTTTGATTTCTTGACTGCTATTACTATTGGTGTTGGCTGTAGATCCAAGTAAAATTTAATTGTTGTCAACTCCAATCTTTCACCTTTCTGTCATAATGTTAGGGAGCTCTGGTGGCCTAGTGGCAAGAAGCTATGCTGTAATCCCAAAGGCACGCAGTTCAAGGCCATCAGCTGCTCTTCGGGAGAAGGATGGGCAATCTCCTCCAGTGGGAGTGACTGCCTCTGAAAACCTGGTGGAGGGTCAGCTAGGGGTCAGTTCCACCTCTACACAACAACAACATCATAATGTTGTCTATTAGTCCAATGGTGAGGATCTTTGTTTTCTTAATGCTGAGACGTTAATTCTCTTTGAAAGCTGTAGTCTTTGATCTTGGGTCAGTGCAGACACTGAGAAGTTGTAGGCGTGACTGTAGGTGTGAGAAGGACTTGGGTTCCCGCTGCCTTGAGGCTCTGATAACTAGGGTTCAGGGTTCACTAGCAACTCCAGGGAGCTTCCAGGACAAAGGGCAAAGGTGAGCAGGGTAGGGCAGGGGTGTGCACAGTTGTGCGTGGTAATAGATGTCACAGTGGAGCGGCCAGTGGCTGGTGGGCCTAGGGGTCCAAGTAGGGCAGTCTGCCCTGCCTGTCTTACCTACTTCCTCAGGGCCTTCTCCTAGGGTCTTAACAGCAGAGACAAAGAGGGTTTGCTGGCTCCTGAGCAGAGACACAGGCAGAAGTGTAGCTGGGGTATGGCAGGCATGGCATGTGTTTTGGGTGCCACTTGAGTGGGGGTAACAAACTTAGTGCCATGGATAAGCTTTTTATAAGAGACACTGTTGCCTATGAATGAGGCCTCATTCTTACCACAGGATTGCAGAGCTGTAAGATTCTGGACTTCTCTCTCCCCCCTCTCCTCTCTCCAGCTCCCTTTTTTGTGGCAGAAAGATTAGCGTTTCCAGGGGAACTGTTGTTTGTTAAAGCCTCAAGAGCCCAAGAAAACCTTAAGCAAGTCTGGTCTCCTGCACAGTCTTGTGGGTCTGGTTCTGGCAACACCTCCCATTGTGAGTCACATTCCGAGTTCACCAGGAGAAGCAGGGGAAGAAGTGGTGGCTGCACAGGAAGCAGCACAAGCAGAGGCTAGAGCTCACTAAATTATGTCTCCCCTATCTTTTTTTTT